GCCACTACTGTCCCCGTGTTGTACTGGCCGCCACTACTGTCCCCGTGTTGTACTGGCCGCTACTACTGTCCCCGTGTTTTACTGGCCGCCACTACTGTCCCCGTGTTGTACTGGCCGCCACTACTGTCCCCGTGTTGTGCTGGCCGCCACTACTGTCCCCGTGTTGTGCTGGCCGCCACTACTGTCCCCGTGTTGTGCTGGCCGCCACTACTGTCCCCGTGTACAAGCAATTTTAAGGCTGAAGGTTATGTTAGGTTGCTATTTGATCTGAAGCTTCCAATGAAAAAAATTCCAATGAAAAAATATGCCCCCAAGACTGCATGTTCAATACAAGTGAATAACACATTCACATAGAGCAATGAAATTGAAAAAATAAGTAAATAAAGATACATTTACAGCCTTACGTCGTAAGATACGATGATCGTTTTGTTCGGGAAGAACTTGGCTTCCATTGTGAATCCTGGCACGTAATTGAACGGCCAGTACTCTTGTGGTTCTGCTCAATAGAAGACAACTTAGTGGTAATATTGGCCTTGTGTGGGTCATCCTGAAACAGGGTATCAGTGCAACGGACAGAAAGTGGGTCAGTATTAGGACAGTACTGTATTATATATGTCCTGTTATTATTATTAAGTATCATAACACATTAGTAGCCTAATACGTTGTAAGGGATTGCAATATGACTCTTGAAATTTATCGTTTAGCGTTTTGATTCACCTTTGACGTGACCTCGTTTAGATGCGCTCTGTATTTCATCATTGTATGGGAACCCCACCACAGAGGTGCGTGTAGGTATTGTCTAGCTATTCTTGTGATAATCATGTTGTACTGGCAGTGCTTTATATAGGCTCATGTACTTATCCAGTGCTTTATATAGGCGACTATGAATATCATTAATTGTATTAATCTGTTACTAATATTTGCCAAGTTTGCATTATATTCTAATTTGTTAGAGTCCATAATTTGTTTATTCACGCATTTTCAGAAAGGCTCCGAAACCTGAGGCCGGAGTTAGAAGTGCTAAGGAAATACACGGTTTATTCATTTGTATTCTTGTATCCGTCATTTGTTTATTATTATAGTTATTTATTAAAAGTTTGGGGGAAACCAGAATTTGTTTGCTTATTTATTGAATAGACCCCAACAACTTGACCCATTTATATTTCTGAGCTTGATCTCCTGAGTACATACGAGTTGAATTCTAATTCGATCAAATCCGATGGAAACATTATGGAGAAATCTTTGGCCTTACTTTAAAAAGTCTAATTTTTATGTTCACATGTTGAACTAAATATACTGGTGTAATTCCAATATGAATCTTCCTCATAACTAAATAGTATAAAACATAGCTACATAGCCCATAACAAAGCTACACAAGACGGAACCTAAACTACATTGTCCAAAACAAAGCTACATGGTCCAAAACAAATCTATATAGTCAGAACCTAAACTAAGTAGTCCAAATCTGAGCAACATAGTCCGAACCAAAGTTACATAGTACTCAATTTTCCGTATTCGATGTTAGAATATAGAGTAGATCTACCATCATTTATGGTACCTGGTATGGGAGTCACCACCGTCTGGGCGGTGGTACCGAACTTCTCTCCGGTGGGGAGACCGAAGGAGACGGTGACGTTTGCGCTGCACCCTGGGACGTTCTCTATCGTCGTCTGGGACGAAGTGGTTTCGACGTACTTCTCCTGGCCGGAGAAGCTGACGATGAGGCCGGGGTAGTTGCAGCCACCATCGTTTGCAGTCCACGTCACGTCGAAGTTGTTATTCGTACTCGCCGTCAGGGTCGCAGCCATCGTCAACACTTTGAAATTTCCTGTTGAATAGTAGGAAGGAAGCGTTTACTTAAAAGAGTCTCTTCATATCTTCCTTTATTTGACAAGAAAAATTAGGATTTTTACATTGGTATCCACTCTCCGAAATTAAGATTAAGTTTTCGGTTGCAGCAACGGACCGCACCCACCGCAACTCAACTGGACCAGAGATGAGCAAAGTGCGAGACTTGTCGAGACAGGGATGCGAGAGTTTGCAAGAAGACTTGTTTGCAATATGTGACTGCAAACACAGTGCAAAATTCACCCCTAATGTCAGGTCGGGATCAAAAACAACTACTTGGCACCGGATGGCACAGAAATTGAGAAGTAATTTATTCACGACCGCGCAGTGATGAAGAGTTTGGTGACGTGTAGGTGCAAAATCTGCAAGATGCAAGTAAAAAATAATGTTGATCTTGTGGACGTTCAGAACTAGAGAAACGGAACTGATAATCACATTCTTCAAAGCCCTTGTGGCCCATCTCTTCGAGTACTGATGTCAGCTGCGGACCCCATTCACGGTTTGCGCAGTGCGGCCATTAGAAGCGGTCAAGGGAATCTTCATGTGAAGGAACGAAATCTTCGGGATGCCAAAATATCACAATGAGAAAAGACACTTTGTACAACACTCCTTCCAACAAAAATCTTGGTTTCAGAGCTCAGTTTGCGGAAGCAATCCCTTTCGATAGCGTGACCAAGGCTGTTTTATGTCTTGCCTATGGAGATAACAAGAGGAGTCGTTCTCCCTGGAGGCCCTAAAGAGACCTGACTTGTTACTAGGCACAATCAATGATCACACGGGGTAGGCCGGAGAAAAAGACAACGTACCAGAGAGCCCTGCGACTGCAATGTTCTGAACCCATCCCACACAGGAACATGAATTTATCCCACCCACCGTAACTGGCCTGGATCAGAGGTGGATGGACTAATTCATCGCCCCCCACCGAAATTGGGCTCGACCAGGGGTGGGTTGGACTAATCCATATACACCCACCGAAAGTGGGCTTGAACAGAAGTGAAATTCCCAATTCTATCGCACCCACCGAAATTTGGCTTGACCAGAGGAGGGTTGGCTTGGTAGATGGCTATGTAGTTTGCGGCTGCCGCCTTCTGGTCGGCACATGCATGACTCGGTACTGTTGCGTTGTAGGTGAGGCAGGTGGTACCATCGAAGGACAGGGTGGAGTGTCCTGCAAACGTTGAGGCGATTAGTAAAGAGGTTAATACATAGTAGCTTTGGTCAATTATTATTGCATTCCATTAATACTTCGTAAATGGCAGCTTTTGCGGCGGTAAACAACGGCAGTAGCAAACTCACCGGCTACTGCGGCTGCGTTGACGCAGTCCCTGAAGGTGGCCGCGCTCGGCTGGGAGCTTGTGAAGCATTTCAATATCGCCGGGTAAGTGTATGCGCGGTTATACATGATTCCCTTCTTAGACATGATGGACTGGAACACGACCGACCTTTTGGTTTTCTTGCAGGCTGCCATGGGGCCTTTGGGGGTCACAAGCACCTGTAATCATTAAAATGCTGAATATATACTAGAATATTGATGTTGGTGAGAGGACACAGTTGAGACAGTTGCTTACGAACAAACTTGTGGTGCATGGCACAGTAAAGCCTATGTTTTCAAGAGGGAAATATAGCTGAAATTTTCATGAAATCCCAACGCGAAAATATGCTCACGAATTTCATTTTAATTAGACGCGTGTGATGGTTGTTTCAACTCACATCAACAGCAGGGCCTGTAGGCAGGCTCGCCTGTGGGCAGGAAAAGTGTTAATTCTTTCAGTATCAGCTATCACAGATCAATGAGCAGCTCACGATTTGTCTACTTGACATTTCACAAGCAGTTTGTGGCATGTGGGTTAGTTTTGTACCCTAGCTGTATAAAAACGTCTAATGTTAACCATATTCAGAGGAGGATATAATTAAATAAATACTGTTAATTATACCAAAGTTAATTATAATGACCTGGGCTTCATGGAGCACCGTGGTCAAAATTCCGGCAAGAATCAGCGGCAGGAGTTTTGCCATCTTGACCTTCCCGACCTGGGGAGCCACGAGACTATGATTATTATTTAAGATATTAGAAGGATTATAATTAATGATACATGAAATTATTAGTAGTATTGAAAAAGAGCTTATCTGCACAGTTTGGTAGAATTTTCAATTCTGCGTCGGAACGCTCTCTTTCATTCTACTAATGTGAAAGAGGCCAAAAATATGAATTTTGTGTTTTCGATCGTTGAAAAAATTTATATTTTATACAGAAGATATTTACGATGTCAGTGTTTTGTTGAAGTTTATTAGAACGCTAAGTTAATGCACTCAGTGATCGCTAAGTTAAGGCACTCGGGGAACGCTAAGTTAGGGCACTCAGTGTACGCTAAGCCACGAAACAAGTGGTAAACGTTATGAAACAAGTGGCAAACGCTATGAAACAAGTGGCAAACGCTATAAAACAAGTAGCAAACGTTATGAAACAAGTGGTAAACGTTATGAAACAAGTGGTAAACGCTATGAAACATGTGGTAAACGTTATGAAACAAATGGTAAACGCTATGAAACAAGTGATGAACGCTATGAAGCAAGTGGTAAACGCTATGAGACAAGTGGTAAACGCTATGAAACAAATTGTGGACGCTATGAAACAAGTGGTAAACGCTATGAAACAAGTGGTAAACGTTATGAAACAAGTGGTAAACGCTATGAAACATGTGGTAAACGCTATGAAGTGTGACGGAATACATATTATGTGATATTTTTTTTATTTTTAGGAGTACTGTATGATCACGTGTTATTTTGATAATGTTCTTTTGTTAGATTAGTGACTCAATGTGATTGCATATATTTTTATGACCAGAATATGGAATCTCGTTATTGTGATATTATTTTGTATGACCTAAAAATGTGTAAGCATATTTATATTTCGTGACTGAAACGAGGAATTTCCTTTGTTGTCATATCATCTGTCTGTAGCGTTGCGTGTAATCGTCTGCTAGACACCATGCGTCGTCTGCTAGCCCTGACACATTTAGACTTACTCTATATGTTAATCGTAAAATATTACTTGACCTAAGATTTATTCGCTTTAATGTGCCATTATTGTGTCAAAGGACTTTATCTTTTGCGATAATCGTAATGATTTACTGTTGTACTGTACGAGGATAAGTGTTGTTAATAGACGACACAATCGTTAAGTAAAGATGGCTACGTCGCCATCTTGCGTAAGGGAGCTAGACATCTTAGAGGCAGATGTTTTATAAGAAGTCGATTATAACTACACTATAACGACATGACTATAGTCATGTCGTCAAAATGTTAAACTCTTTATTGATATGATTTCATTAGATGATAATGCTTCGCATGATATATGCTTAGTCAATATTCATTTGTCTAGTCTATTGACGAGCTGGTATCAACTCACGCGCTCGCGAGTTAGTTATCATCGAGTTATTCTATCTTATATCAACTTTCACTTATCATTATTTGACCAAAAGATTATATTATGATTCTATTTTATTGTAATATACTATATTATCTATATTTTTTGCATATAGACGAATTTAGTAGCCCATTGAGCATAGTAGCCATTTAGTAGCCCATTGAGTAGCATTGTTGAGGTAAGCTCATTTTGGCTGAGTTACCCCCTCGTTGTGTGCGCTCAGAAGTTATGTGTGCTCAGTGTTACAGGGTTGGGATGACACGGTTTCGACTCGAAACAGGCAGAGCCAAATTTAGGCTTCCAAGAATAAACTCCACCGCAGTTCTGGGCATAACTCTTAATGAGTTCCTCCAACGGACTAACAACGGCGTAGGTGGAGTTCTTGGATAGTTCCAGGTTTTGGCTGCGTTGGGCGGTTAACAGCCGTTCAATTCGCACCCTCGTGTCGTAGAGGCAAATAACCTCGGCGCTCGAGTTAATTGTCAGCGGCTTATTGGGGGCTAGTACCCTTCAATAGTAGTGCTTTTGAGGCGTAACTGCCACCCTGTTCCTTTGTGGTTGTTAGCATCTCGGGGCGGTTAGTTCCCGTAACATTTGCTATCCATCTTTGTGACTCTTGGCAGTATATTAGGGCTAGGACCCCTAGTCTCTGCATCTGGTCGTCGGCATCTCGGTGCGGATAGTTCCCGTACCATTTGCTGTACGTTTTTGTGATTTGGCCGTGTATTAGGGCTAGAACCCCTAGTCTCTGCGGTTCGTTGTCGGCATTTCGGTGCGGTTATTTCCCGTACCATTTGCTATCTGTTTTTGTGATTTGGCCGTGTATTAGGGCTAGAACCCCTAGTCTCTGCGGTTCGTTGTCGGCATCTCGGTGTGGTTTGTTCCCGTGCCATTTGCTATCCGTTTTTGTGATTTGGCAGTGCATTAGGGCTGGAACCCCTGGTCTCTGCGGTTCGTTGTTGGCATCTCGGTGCGGTTAGTTCCCGTACCGTTTGCTATCCATTTTGTTATTCGCAGCTGTGTATTAGGGCTCATACTGTGTGGTTTCTCGGCTGTTTGTACCCCTGAAATGTCAAGCCTTTTTCCGCGATCTTTTGGATTATGACGAATAGTAAATTGTGCGCCCCGTATGAAGAAACTTGTATTTGCCTGAAGATTACCAGTATACTACGAAAAGTTCATCGTGTTCATTACTCCTTTCTACAACGCAAGGGAATTTAGAGCCGGACCAAAAAGCGACTCTTTAGCCCTTCTGTTTAGTATCTGTACGAAAGTCTACACTAAGTCGGCACGCTACCCGTAAATATTTCAACTTCGCGGCAGTGTTTCCGGTTACAGAAGCAAGTGGTAAACGCTATGAAACAAGTGGTAAACGCTACAAAACAAGTGGTAAACGCTATGAAGCATGTTGTAAACGTTATGAAACAAGTGGTAAACGCTATGACACAAGTGGTAAACGCTATGAAACAAGTTGTAAACGTTATGAAACAAGTGATAAACGCTATGACACATGTGGTAAACGCTATGAAACATGTTGTAAACGCTATGAAACATGTGGTAAACGCTATGAAAAAAGTGGTATACGCTATGAAACAAGCGATAAACGCTATGAAACGAGTGGTAAACGATATGAAACAAGTTGTAAACGTTATGAAACAAGTGGTAAACGCTATGAAGCAAGTGGCAAACGCTATATAACAAATGAAAAACGCCATGAAACAAGTGGTAAACGCCATGAAATAATTGATGAACGCTATGAAGCATGTGGTAAACGCCACGAAACGAGTGGTAAACGCTATGAAACAAGTGGTAAACGCTATGAAACAAGTGGCAAACGTTATGAAACATGTGGTAAACGCCATGAAACAAGTGATAAACGACATGACACAAGTGGTAAACTCTATGAAATCAGTGGTAAACGCTATGAAACATGTGGTAAACGCCATGAAACTAGTGGAAAACGCTATGAAACATGTGGTAAACGCCATGAAACAAGTGGTTAACGCTATGAAACAAGTGATAAACGCCATGAAACCTGTGATAAACGCCATGAAACAAGCGGTAAACGCTATGAAACTAGTGGTAAACGCTGTGAAACATGTGGTAAACGACATGAAACAAGTTGTAAACGCCATGAAACAAGTGGTAAACTCTATGAAACCAGTGGTAAACGTTATGAAACAAGAGGTAAATACCTATGAAACATGTGGTGAACGCTATGAAACATGTGAAACAAGTGGTAAACGCTATGAAACGAGTGATAAACGCCATGAAACATGTGATAAACGCCATGAAACAAGTGGTAAACGCCATGAAACTAGTGATAAACGCCATGAAACAAGTGGTAAACGCTATGAAACTAGTGGAAAACGCTGTGAAACATGTGGTAAACGTCATGAAACAAGTGGTAAACGATATGAAACAAGTTGTAAACGACATGAAATAAGTTATAAACGCCATGAAACAAGTAGTAAATGCTATGAAACATGTGGTAAAAAGTAAATTTTTATTTAACTCTATAACCCCTATCTTTTAATCAAATTATTTCTCATTCAACTGCAACCCAATCTTTTTAAAGTTATATTTTATTCAATTATAACCCTTATAATTTAATCAAATTATTTTTTATTTAATTTAACCAGTATCTTGCAGTCAAGGTAATTTTTTTATTCAACTTTAATCCCTATCTCTTAATAAAGTTTTTTATTTAACTTTGACCATAATCTTTTAATTAAGTTACATTTTATTCAACTTCAACCTCTATCTTTCAATCATGTTATTTTTTTCAACTTCAACCCTTTTCTTATAATCAATTCATATTTATTCAAGTTTAGCGTCTATGTTTTAATCAAGTTATTTATATTGAACTTTAACCCCTTTCTTTCAATAAAGCAATTCCTTATTCAACCTTAACCCCTATCTTCTAATCAAGGTTTAATATCTATTTAATCTAATCCCTATCATTTAGTTAGAGTTATTTTTATTTACCTTTAACCCCATCTTTTACATGTTTTTTATTTAACTTTAACCCTTATCTATCAATCAAGCTATTTTTATTCCACTTTAACCCTTATCTTTTAATCAGCTTATTTTATTATTTTGTCAGCCCCAATCATTTATTCAAATAATTATTTGTTCAACTTTAACCACTATCCTTTAATCAATTTCTTTTAACTTTTACCCTTATATTTTAATCAAGTTATTTTTCATTCAACTGGAAGCCCTACTTTTCAATCAAGATATTTTTTATTAAACTTTAACCCCTATCTTTTAATCAAGATATTTTTTATTTGATTTTAATACCTTATTTAAAATCAAATTATTTTATTTAACTTTAACCCCTATCTTTTAACCAAGTTATTTCTCATTCAACTTTAACCCTATCTTTTAATTAAGTTATATGTTATTTAAATATAACCCCTATAATTTAATCAAGCTATTTTCTATTAAATTTAACATCTATCTTGTGTTCATATTATTCTTTATTCAACTTTAACCTCTGTCTCTTAAAAAAAATTTATTTAACTTTGGCCCCTAACATTTTATCCAGTTATTTTTTATTTAACTTTAACCGCCATATTTCAGTCATGTTGTTTTTTA